GGGATATTCACTGCTTGAAATTTCTACAACACTTAATGATGCTATGTGAAAATGTGCGAGAAAAATAATGAGATGAGAAGAGGAATGTTTCGGTGGTATGGAGCAGCTGGTCGTGTACAGTGAAGTCCACGCAAACAGTTCGTGTACGCGTGTATGCAAATGTGCTGCTATTTGTGGTGCAGTTGCTGTTGCAGTGAGTCTGCTGCTGCTGTTGCTGCTGATCATCGACAGTTGAATGCATGGTGGCGGAGGAGGCGGAGAGCAAGAAGCTGGACAGAAGTGCTGCTGCTGCTGCTGCTGTGATACGATGATTGTCGCCGATCTGCTGCAGCCTCTCGGAACCACTCCACCGGTAAGCGCCCATCGAGAAAATTCTACCAAATTTCGCATCCTTTTGGCTAAATCTATTTTGTCTTGAAACCACATTTTTTACACTTTTTTTGCTCGATGATGCATCTTAGCGAAAACGAAAGTGGCTGTATTTTGAATGTTTCAGGAAGGTAAAAATTGTTGCCGAAGTTTCTCAAGCGATGGTGGCGAGGAACTGGTTGTCAACGGAAATACTGCAATAGTTCGAGAATACCCATCAGGCTCGGTTCAGCGTCGGCTGAAAACCGATTTTGCAATAACTAATGTCGGTCTTCTGCGTTTTACATTTATAAATTTAAATTGTTTCATTTTGTTAGCCTTGCCTTGATTTCTTCCTTTCTCTCTCTCATAGCCGTTATTTCCAAAAAGGCATTTGACAAATCTGGGCAGGCACTGCCGACATTTTTTTCTGCAGGGATTTTGGTGCGAATTCACAAGAACAGGCCGAGATGAGAGCCGAATCGAAGGCGTTTGTCTTTTTGGGCGTAAGGAGCTGGTGTTCATCCCAGATACTGATTCGTACACTTACAAGGTGACCCTTCCATTCGAGGTATCTTACTCTTTCATGTTTTATTTTGACAGACTACTCATGCAGCATTTTATTTTTGTCATACTCAAAAAAATTTTGGTCTCAAAAAAGAAATTGGCTGTTAAGCAAAGTAAAAAATGCCAATGAAAGATCCTGT